ATCCATTCCACCAGTCTTTTAATTGGCATATTTAGACCATTTACATTTAAAGTTAATTACTAAGTTAGGGTTTAATTCTGCCATTTTATTTTTTTGTTTTCTGTTTCTTCATTCCCCCCTCCCCCACCTTTCCTTTTGCCTGCCTATGGGTTACTTAAACATATTTTAGATTCCATTTTGATTCTTCTGTAATGTTTTTAGTATGCCTATTTGTATAGATGTTTCATGCTTCCTCTGGGTATTACACTGTATATGTATAACTTATCACAGTCTAGTGGGTGCTATTTTACCAGTTCAAGGGAAATATCAAACCTTAACTCTCTTTACATACTTTTATTCACTGCCATTGATAACAGTTCAGAATACTTTCTCTATATAAATTTAGAATTACATTAGTTTTATTATTATTATTTTTTGAGACAAGAGTCTCTTGTTGCCCAGGCTAGAGTACAGTGGCACAATCTTGGCTCACTGCAACCTCTGCCTCCTGGGTTCAAGTGATTCTTCTGCCTCAACTTCCTGAGTAGCTGGGATTATAGGCATGTGCTGCCATGCCCAGCTAATTTTTGTATTTTTAGTAGAGACAGGGTTTCATCATGTTGGTCAGGCTGATCTTGAACTCCTGACCTTGCGATCCGCCCACCTCAGCCTCCCAAAGTGCTGGGATTACAGGTGTGATCTGCTGTGCCGGTTGAAATTTTTTTTAGTTGTCAAACATGATTTAGAAAACTTAAGAGGAAGAAATCCCATATTTGCCCATATTTTTTTGTTTGGTATATTGTTTTCTTCTTTCCTAGTGTTCCAAACTCCTCCTTTTATCATTTCCCTTGTATTTAGATAACTTTTTTTAATGTTTCCCTTTGGGTAGATTTGCTGGCAACAGATTCTCTTGTTTTTTTGTCATCTGAGATTATCTTTATTTCTCCTTCATTCCTGAAGGATATTTTCACTGGATATAAGATTCTGGGTTTGACAGTTTTTTCAACACTTGAAAAATATTTTGCCACTTCCATCTGGCCTCTGTGGTTTATGATGAGAAATCTGTTGTCATTCAATTTTTTTCTTTTTCCTCCTGCAGCTAAGGTGTCATTTTTCTCTGGCTGCTTCCAATATGTTTTTTCTTTGTCTTTAGTTTCTAGAAGTTTAATTATGATGTGTCTCGCTGTGGATTCCTTTGGGTTTTCCCTGCTTAGGAGTTCATTCTGCTTCTTGAATCTGTAGGTTTGTATTTATTGCCATATTGTGAGACTCTTCAGCCATTATTTCTTTGAGTACTTTTTCAGCCCTGTCTTTCGTGTCCTCAGCTTCCAAGGCTCTGATGACATGAATGTTACATCTTTTGTTATAGTCCCACAAGTCCCAGAGACTGTTCTTTTTCTTGTTGGTCTCCCTCCGTCTTTCCTTCCTTCCTTCCATCCGTCCGTCTATCTGTCCTTCCTTCCGTTCTTTCTTCCTTCCGTCTATCCATTCATCGGTCCTTGAGAACGATGATCTGAGGCTGGAGTACAGTGGCACGATCTTGGCTCACTGCAGCTTAACCTCCCAGACTCAAGCAGTACTCCCACCTCAGCCTCCCAGGTAGCTGAAACCACAGGCACATGCCACTATGCCTGGCTAATTTTGTTCGTTTGTAGAGACAAGGTTTTACCATGTTAACAAGGCTGGTCTCAAACTCCTGGCTTCAAGTGATTCTCCTGCTTCAGCCTCCCAAAGTGCTGGGATTACAGGCATGAGCCACCCTGCCTAGCATTCATTTATTTTATTTTTCAGTTATAATATTTCCATTTGGTTTTAAATGTTTTCTGTTTTATTTGCCTGAACTTACTTTTTCTTTGCTCAGTCCTCCTGTGTTTTTCAAGCATGTTTATAATTTCTTTGCAGCATTTTTGTCATGATACCTTTGTCTTGGTTAGATAATTCTGTTTCTGTCATCTCAGGGTTGGAAGCTATTGTTTATTTTTTTGCGTTTGATATCTTCCTGGTTCTTGGTGTGGTGAGCTATTTTCATTTGATACTGGACTTATCAGACCCTAGATCTCATTTAAACTTTTTAGTTTGGTTTTCTTTCCCTAGCATTGCTGTGGCAAGGGAACCAGGGCACTGTCTCCTTACTGCCAGTGGAGGTAGAAATTCAGGTTCCACTTAGCTTTCATTGACACCTGGGAGTAGGGACTCCTTGTTACTGTTGGTGGAGGTGGTAGTTTTGACTCTTCATGTGGTCTTCACGGACACCACATTGGTGTGTCCTCATTACTGCAGGGAGATGGTGAAAGTCTTGACTCTACTTGACCTCCTCTGACACCACCTCCGAGGGAGGAGGGGGAGCTCCATATCGCCATCTTTCTTTCTCTTGCAGCAGAAGTCTAGGCTCCCCACTTGGGCATCATGCTGGCATGAGTAGAGATGGGACCGCATTTTCTTCTTTAGTGTTAAGCTCGAGTAGAGTAATTCTTACCTAAAACTTCTGTCTTTTTAGGTAGCCTTCCCTGGTCCTTTGGCTTTTGTTAGGATTATTTTGGGTCTGTACCCATTGGTATTTCTATGTTACTGGCTTCTTAGCTGCATGCTTGGGATATCTGAGGCAAAAAGTAAACCCAGGGAGCTCATACCCGTGCCGTTTGTCAGGTCCTGCAGTCTCTGGCTGTTCTGCCATCTCCCCACGTTTCAGAGTTGTCTCTCTGTTTTACGTATAATATACAGTGCTGTTAGTTGTACCTAGTGGGAAGAACAGGGAAAAGTGTTGTTGCTCCATCTACGCTGAAGTAACCTCTCATTTACTTTGTTCCTTTCTCAGGACTCAGTGTAATATTTTAATTCCAGCATTTTATTGTTGTTAACTTTATTCATGTATATTATTTTCTTTGGCAGGTAGTGAAGAATAGATTAATTTTAAATTTAAAAGAATTCCCAAAAGCAAGCAGATGTAGGTGACATCCACCATTGGGTTTCAGATACATTTATTAAAGTCATAAATAGGTCTTTGTATTTGGGGATGCTTTTTAGTTTACAAAGCAAGATCTTATAAGAGGGGGATCACATAGGTAGAAGCGGTCACTTCTTAATATTTTTTGCACTGGCAAGTAGTAAAAAGACAGCATCACTGTAGGTCTGGTTAGAATGGGCTGTTTACCTGATACTGAGACGTTTTCAGTTGACTTCATTTTCTCAAGATGTGTTTCACAAAGGGTCCTGATAGATTTAAGTTATAACTGGCTATCTCACAGGATTATGACTCAGTAAAAACATGAAAAGGCTTTGGCGGTTATAAAGAACCATGCATATGAGAGAATGGTATTCCTGTAATTGTCTTCCTGCAAAGATCTACTTTGCACTTACAGCAACACATTTTTACTTTCTGTAATTCTTAGAATCCTAGAATCTTAAAACTGAAAGCGATCTTAAAGGTAAATGAGTGCCGGGCGTGGTGGCTCATGCCTGTAATCCCTGCACTTTGGGAGACCAAGGTGGGTGAATCAAGAGGTCAGGAGATTGAGACTATCCTGGCTAACATGGTGAAACCCCGTCTCTACGAAAAATGTAAAAAATTAGCTGGGCGTGGTGGCGTGTGCCTGTAGTCCCAGCTACTCAGGAGGCTGAAGCAGGAGATTCAGTTGAACCCGGGAGGCGGAGGTTACAGTGAGCCAAGATCATGCCACTGCACTTCAGCCTGGGCGACAGAGCAAGACTCTGTCTCACAAAAAAGGTAAATGAACTTTGCCATTTTTCCCGTCCACGCAACTCAGCTTCTTTGAAGGATACTCCGCTAGCTTACAGCACAGGGCGTCTCAAGTCGTTAACAATGTTTGCCAACCTCTTCTGTTCTGCCTTGGCCTTTCCTGTTAGATCTTATCTCTCTGTTCTGCTTTTTGAGTCTAGTTTTTTATGAGAGAATAAGAAAAAACTACTTCCTCTGGGTTGTGGTCATTCTTTTTCTTTTTCTTTTTTTTTTTGCGTGGGGGGGGCAGTTGTGGTCATTCTTATCTGCCATATCCTTTCATTTTTCTTCATTTTGTATGGTTAAGATCTTTGACCATTTTATCTGCCTTATTCATTCTGCAGAATTTGATTTTATTAAAGTGGTGCCGTGGCATCAGAATAATACACAACGCTTGTGTAGGATGGATAGGAACTTGGCTCGATGAAACCCTGCACTGCACTGTTGTTATTTGTACTGTTATTTCTCATGTACATAGAAACCCTTCGGAGAGGATTTGAGAGTCTTGTAGGTATATGTAAATCATTGTATTTGCTCTCATTTTGTCACAAAACAGTTACTGAATTTACAGGTGGTTCATGGCCCTGGGATTTTTTTTCCCACTCCTTAGCGAGTTAATTCTTAAGTCTGCCCTATTTTGTTGCTTTATTCAGTTTGACTGTAGAAAATCTAAGTGCAAGTGCACATTTGTCATTAGGATGTTTTCTTGTTAGCTTTGTGGCATTGTAGAGTTTTGATTTTCTGACGCATTACGCTGGCTTTCATCCTTCCCTTCACTGTTTCCTCTTCCCGACCACACTCCCAGTCACCTGCCTTGCCCATTTGTGTTTTATTCCTTCCTGTTTGTTATAACAATCTGTGTTATTGAAAGTGTTGGCGAGGCAGGGTCAGATACAGAGCACTGCTAGAGCATTTGTGATTGACATCAGCTCATTAATAATCATGTTTTGACTATGTGTATAGAACATGGTATGAATGATTTTTACTTTTACATCAAAAACTGAAAAAAAATGATTTTTTTTAATATGTTTGACATCTTACTAGTAACTATAACATTGTTATAGATGATCTGATAATATTGGTACCTTAAAAAAAAGATGGCGTTTCACCATGTTGGCCAGGCTGGTCTTGAACTCCTGTCCTCAGGTGATCCACCCACCTTGGCCTCCCAAAGTGCTAGGATTACAGGCGTGAGTCACCGTGCCCAGCAATATTGGTACATTTTAAAACTTTGAAACATATTTAGTACCTAGTTTAATTTTACCTATTTTAAAAATATTTTCAGGAAATCCCCTTACCCAGGATATATTGAACCTTTATCAGGAACCAGATGGAACAAGACGGCTGCTGAACTATTTGCTTGATAATTTGTCAGGTACTGCAAAAAGAAGTAAGTGGTTATTTGTTTAAACCTTTTTATTAGGAAGATATGTAAGAATATTGCTTAATTCTTTATTTTCTGTTCAACTAGTTTCAACAGAACAACCACCTCCAAGGTCTTGGATTATGTTGCAAGAACCAGATAGAACAAGGCCAACTGGTTGGTAGTCTCTTATTTTCTAACTGTTATTTTTGCTCAGTCTCTGTAAGCCTAACAGTATTGTCAGCATGCTTAGATAACAGGTAGCATTAAGATAGAATGTTTAAGGTTAATTTAGTTTGGGAGGTAATAGAAAAAAGCCTTAATTATTGCTCACATGACCTCTACGTTGTGCTATATAGAAAGTGTGCTGTAAAGCAGTGCTTCTCAAACTGGCAGTTTATCCCCCAGCGGACATTTGGCAATGTCTGGAGACTATTTTGATGGTCATAACCGGGGAGAAGTGTTGCTGACTGCTAGTGGCTGGAGACCAGGGGTGCTGCTCAACATCCTATGTAGTACCTGGCACAGGCCCCCACAACAGATTTCACATAAAATGTCAGTGGTGCCCCTCTTGTTGAGAAACCCTTCTGTAATGTATTGATGAAATTCACTTAAAATGAGTATCTCTATTCGAAGTTCCCAAATCCTAGCATGTTCCAAATGGATTTGACACTACTGAGTTATAAGAGAGCTAAAACCCTTACTTAAGAGGAAAATTAAACTAATAACCTCTAATCTCCTTTTAACCTAAATTCTACGAAAATAGTTTGGGAACTTTCATGGCATGTGTAACAAAATTTGATCTATGGTACTGTTTTTAATTGGTGGCATGGTAGAACGAGTGGAGAAATGAGGAATGTTAAGCTCAGAGGCTGAAGGGCTCACGAGCTTAGGCTTTTCACTTCCAAACCTTCTGTGCCTATCTCTGTAGCAGGTGTAGTACATTGTATTCTAACTTGTTCACTTATCTGTCCTGCTTGCATTATCCGTGTTTATTTATCCCCTATGTGTGGCATATGTAGTAGCTTTTCAGTGGCTATAGATTGAATGAGTACAGTCAAACTTAACATTTAAGTGAAAACCATTACTGAAATTCTATTATTTTTTTCTGCCACGTGTGTGAATAAGTAAAGTTATCTTTCCTACAGCCTTGTTTTCTGTCATGTGCTATAATGTTCTTTGTGATAAATATGCGACCCGGCAGTTATACGGCTACTGTCCATCATGGGCACTAAACTGGGACTACAGGAAAAAGGCCATTATTCAAGAAATCTTGAGCTGCAATGCTGATATCGTAAGTCTTCAGGTAAGTCAGATAGAAGAGAGTTGACCTAACATTGATACAGCAAGGAGCAAACTAGGAATACATTACACAGATACATTGGAAGTTTCAGCTCTGGTAGTTCTTAAAGCACTGTTTTTTTAACGTTATTAGTGAATCCTGGGAGTACTGTCTGCTTTGCTTTGCAGTACTGTGTTGTAAAATAAGCAAATGAGTTAAGTTGGGTTTTATACATTTGCTATGACTGCTAAATACTCACCGTCCTCCTCCCTCCAATGTCCCTGCACACTATTTTTGAGTTGGGTGGCAAAGGTACTGAAATTCTGGCATGGTCAAGCTACAGCTTTATATTCCTGACCATGTTACTAGAACAATTAAGGCATAGTGTAAAAAGGACTGACCTGACACATAATCATTTTGGGTTCTCAGTCCAGCTCTCATAGTCACTTGCATAATCTTGAACATGTTACTTTCTCTGCAAGGGTCTGAAGTTACGATTTACAAAGTTCCTTCCATCTCTGTGATTCTCAGTCCACATCAGTTCTAAGACATGAGAAAATATACATGCATAGAAGTATGTGTCTTTCCATTCATTGTTCCTAAACAGCAATGAATTGCCCTTGGCAACTGGTACCTGTAAAATGACAAGTAGGTGTTCCAGTTGGTTTCAGATAAATAGCATTAAAAAGATGTTACTTTTTTTTTGGTAGGGGGTGGGAGACAGGATCTTGGTCTGTCCTCCAGGCTGGAGTGCAGTGTTGCTATCTCAGCTCACTGCTGCCCCCGCCTCCTGGGTTCAAGCGAATTTAGCCTCCCTAGTAGCTGGGATTACAGGCATGCACCACGCCCGGCTAATTTTCATATTTTTAGTAGAGACTGGTTTTGCTATGTTGGCCAGGCTTGGTCTGAAACACCTGGCCTCAAGTGATCCATCCGCCTCTGCCTCCCAAAGTGCTGGGATTATAGACATGAGCCACCATGCCTGGCTTGAAAAGATGTTACATTCTTATCTGTAGACCAGTCCTATGAAATTATTTCAGGCTCTCAGACTATACATAAAAGTCAATATGTAGGACTGATTTTTGTCATATGAAATAACTGTTCTGTTTACAATTTTTCAGGAGGTTGAAACGGAACAGTATTACAGTTTTTTTCTGGTAGAACTGAAAGAACGTGGCTATAATGGATTCTTTAGTCCTAAGTCTAGAGCTAGGACAATGTCAGAACAAGAAAGGAAACATGTTGATGGCTGTGCAATATTCTTCAAGACAGAAAAGTAAGTCATCTTGTTTTTAAAAAAGAAAATTTTCTCAGTATTTGCAGGGTGGGGGCCAAGGGTGTGGAAATTAATTGGCAAATGAGAGAATGAGGCACTATGTTATTACTCAAGAAAATAATGCTATTTGACCTAGGGGATTTTTGTTTTTAATCATCAAAAATAACCTTGTTTTGGAGACATGCTTAAAAGTACTGCTGTTTCTTCAGGTGTTTACTAGGGTTTAACTCCAATTGTTAATTGAATCACCAAGTAGTTAAAATTCCCTCTAGGATGGTACAGGGATTCTTAAATCCATACTTTAAAAAAGAATTGTTTAAAAATTACAAGGTAAAATATTCCAACATAAAACCTAAACAAGATGACTACGTTTTTTTAAGTTGTAATTTTCAAATTGTTATTTGTATCAGTAACAGACTTAATTGCAACTTTAAATGGATGTGGGAAGCTTGGTGCTAAACGGTGAAGGATTTTCCATAATGTGATTTAAGTGCCATCATATCTGTTAAGGAAGTTTGGGAAAACTACAGTTCCCACAAAGCTAACCTGTTGGTACTCCCAACTCTGTTTGTGTGTGTGTTTTGTTTTTGTTTTAGATTTACTTTGGTTCAGAAACACACTGTTGAATTTAATCAGCTAGCCATGGCAAATTCTGAAGGGTCTGAAGCTATGCTGAACAGAGTCATGACAAAAGATAACATTGGAGTTGCAGTACTGCTAGAACTTCGAAAGGAATTGATTGAAATGTCATGTGAGTGGCCCTTTCACTTCCTGTAAAATTGACCACCAAAATTTAATAGTTCTGACTAGACATCTTCAAAAGAATAGAAAACAGAAATTTCATTGTGTATTAATGGTCTTGTCTAACACCTGAAGAAACTCAGTGAGAATTTGTCTTTTCTAAAATATCTCTCTTTTTCTCTGCCACAAAGCTTAAGATGAGAAAGCACTGGCCCATTAAAAAGTGTTACAAACCTTGAAAAGCATTAAAAAAACTTTTTTTTTCTCTTAAGAATTTTTTATGTAAAAGAAATGTTGAAGTAAATATTAAAGTAACTGCTCAGGGGTAAGAACTCTATACACTTTTATAATTTTTTTGGCAGCAAGGATATTTCTGTAAGCAAATTCTTTTCCTGATCTATTTAAAATAATTGTTTTCAAGGTGTTGAGTTTTGGATAAATGGATCACTTAAAATTGAAAGTATATTTAAGTGACCATTATGCCAAGACCTGAAACTTTGTCACTTGAGCAGTTGGAATAGGGATATTTAATGTGAAGTATAGAAAAGATGGAAATAGGACTTAAGAGTTGTCTTAAATTTAAGAAAGAGGGTTTAGATTAAATTTTGTGAGGCTTGATTTAGGACATCCAAACTAAGACCAAAAGTTTGAAGGAGACAGAGTTTTAAAACTCAAGCTGTCTAGAATAGTTGGGGCTATTTTTGTACAAGTAGTGAATGCCCTGTGCTGGAAGCATCAACCTAGTTTTAGATGTGTATTTCTTGGGTTTGTTGTGGGTCACAATTAGTCATCAGGTGGGAATTTTAGGTGACTTTTCTATTCTGGGACTCCTGAGAAATTATTTGCTTTCAGACACTGTAAGAATATATGGGCTGATGGGCGGGTTTTGTCTGTTTCTTTGTTTTGTTTTTATCTAATATAGCTGGAAAGCCACATCTTGGAACAGAAAAACAACTTATTCTTGTGGCTAATGCTCATATGCATTGGGACCCTGAATACTCTGATGTGAAGTTGGTGCAAACTATGATGTTCCTCTCAGAAGTGAAGAACATTATTGATAAAGCCTCTCGTAACCTCAAATCCAGTGTATTGGGAGAATTTGGAACTATTCCACTTGTGTTATGTGCAGATCTTAATTCTTTGCCAGATTCTGGTAAGAAAATAATGTTTTATGTAGAATACTTTTGACATAAAATGATTTAGTAATGTATTGTTTCTGATCATTTCAAATTAAGTCCAAATAAAAATTTTGTTTGTAATGGCAGCTATGAGCAGGTTTGTAATGTTGTGTCGGGGTAGAGGGGCTGTTTTGAAGATAAAATGGTATTATGGAAACCTGAAGAGAAGGATGTAATCGTCTTGAATAAACACATAGGCAATAACTTGAAATGACTCTATAAAGAACATATTTTATTATCCCCAAGTCAGAGATAATTATGGTTATTAAGACAGCCTCTTTGAGATTCCAGCATGTGGTAATATAATCACAGTTTAAATTCGAGTTAAAATTATAGAATCTCAGTTTTGCGTGTATTTGTAACTTGATGAGAAAAATACACCTCAGATGGAAATTGAGCTCCTTTATTTATACACATAACAGTCAAGTGATTTTTTTTTTTTTTTTGGAGACAGAGTCTTGCTCTGTCGCCAGGTGCCAGGCTGGAGTGCAGTGGTGCAATCTCAGCTCACTGCAGCCTCCACCTCCTGGTTCCAAGCACTTCTGCTGCCTCAGCCTCCTGAGTAGCTGGGACTACAGGCGTGGGCCACTACGCCCAGCTGATTTTTATATTTTAGTAGAGATGGGGTTTCACTGTGTTGGCCAGGATGATCTTGATTTCTTGACCTTGTGATCCACCCATCTCAGCCTTCCAAAGTGCTGGAATTAGAGGTGTGAGCCACTGTGTCGGGCCAGTCAAGTGATTTTAACAAAGAGCAAGGATCTTGATTTTTATTAAAATGTAGAATACAGAAAGCCTGAACTGGAATGCTTTCCATAGATAGTATACAATAAACAATAGCTCTTGTAATAACAAACTATTTTTTCCTTTTTGTGTTTCAACTTACTCATACTCTTAAACAAACAGGAGTACTTTTTCTTGGACTTGAATGTATACATGAACACACACATACATGCACATTTGGAAGCACACGTTGACATCACAATAGATAGAACCATTAGGAAGAAAGAAACTGGCTGCATGCTGTGGCTCACGCCTAGTAATCCCAGCACTTTGGGAAGCTGAGGTGGGCAGATCACTTGAGGCCAAGAGTTCAAGACCAGCCTGGCTAACATGCTGAAACCGTGTCTCTACTGAAAATACAAAAATTAATCGGACGTGGTGGTGGACACCTGTAATCCCGGCTACTTGGGAGGGTGAGGCACAAGAATGACTTGAACCCTGGAGGCAGAAGTTGCAGTGAGCCAAGATTGCCCTACTGCACTCCAACCTGGTTGACAGAGTGAGGATATCTCAAAAAGAAGAACAAGAAGGAGAAGAAAGAAACTGAGTTAAAATTTGATTTCAGGGAAGATAAAGCTGCTATCTAAAATCTTCTGTAATTCTTTATTCCAGCTCAATGAAGTTATGTGGTTACTACTACCGAAGCAGTTGAGTAGTAGTCTCTGGCAGTTTGTCTACATGCTTTCTCCTTTCTGTGTAGCTACAAAGTATCTGAGGAATAAAGAGAAAATCTAGTCAAACATTGACATCCAAGACCCATTTCAGCATTGTGAAATACAGTATTATAATAGCAGGCAGGTCAGAAAATGTCCAGCCTTGCTAACTGGTGAATAAAATACAAATTAAAATATATTTGTAGAGCCCATCTTGTGCTTAGTAAATTGGGAAAATACTTCACTAGGGATGGGTAAGTTTGCTCTGTAACTAGCTGGTGGTATTCTCTTCCATAGTTGGCAGTATTATAAAGTGGCACATTCAGTCCTAATCTTGGGATTTTACACCAAGTAAATAATTGAGCATAAGCAGAAATCTACACACTAAGATGTTGATTATGGTATTATCTTTAATTCTTTTTAAAAAGTGGAAACTACCCTGCATTTTACAAAATTAGTAGTAAATATTATCCACCAGCCCAATTGCATTGTGCAGCCATTAAAGAATGATATTTGGGAAGACACATGTTTATAAAGCAGAGTGTAACCTGTTCAATATTCTATGATTACAATTGTGTAAAAATAGATTTGGACAAGTCTTGACAAATATAAAAAGGAATGTTTTGGAATGTGGGAATACGTGTGGTTTAAAACTTTACTATTACATGATCTTTTAAAATTACTTTTTGTTTATATTATATTTGACAATAAAAAAATTTGTCTTCATTGTAGGTGTTGTAGAATATTTGAGCACAGGTGGAGTAGAAACAAATCACAAAGACTTTAAGGAGCTGAGGTATAATGAAAGTCTCACAAACTTCAGCTGTCATGGGAAGAATGGAACCACCAATGGAAGGATCACTCATGGTTTCAAGTTAAAGAGTGCCTATGAGAGTGGTCTGATGCCTTACACAAATTACACATTTGATTTTAAGGTCTGTCTTGAGACTGATAAGTTTTTCAAACCTCTATTTTACTGGCAAGTTTTCTGATGCATTATGATGTCTTTAAAAATGTGGATGTATGTTCAGACTGGAATGAAGCAGTCTTGAATTCACTGACAACAATATTCTTTGTTTTATGTTTGAGACTAGGTCTCACTTAGTCAGCCAGGCCAGAATGCAGTGGCACAATCACGGCTCACGGCAGCTTCAACCATGCAGGCTGAAATCACACTGTCACCTCGGCCTCCCTAGTAGCTGGGACTACAGGCGCACACCACCACGCCTGGCTAATTCTTGTATTTTTTGTAGAGGTGGAGTCTCACTATGTCCACGTTGGTCTTGAGCTCCTGGCCTTAAATGATTCTTCCACCTCAGTCTCCCAAAGTTCTGAGACTACAGGCGTGAACCACTGTACTCAGCCAGTAATATTTTTTTATTACTCTTCTTTAGAATTTCATGTGATTAGTGTCACAACCTTACTTTGTAGATATTTATTCTAATATTTTCCAGGATAAGAAGTTAGATGAAATCTGTAGAATTCCTAAGCTGACTTTTCACCTTTTGGTGACAATTATGTTTCTTGTATTCTCATTATTAACAGCTAGATATGCTGAACCATGCTATCTAATTTGGGTGGCAGTTAGGGTAAGGTGTTCCTTCTCTTACATTTTAATTTAACTGAAACTAAATTCTTTTGAATGTCAAAGTGTGGTTATTAGCTATTTTTAAATGTTTCTAAGCTACATCTTTTTTTTGCCCCCTGAGACAGAGTCTTGCTCTGTTGCCCAGCATGGAGTTCAGTGGCGCAATTTTGGTTCACTGCAACCTCCCCCTCCCAGGTTCAAGTGATTTCTCATGCCTCAGCCTCCCGAATTGCTGGGATTACATGTGTGCGCCACCACACCCCACTGACTTTTGTGTTTTTAGTAGAGACAGTTTCACCGTGTTGGCCAGGCTGGTGTCGAACCTCTGGCCTCAAGGGATTTCCCCATCTTGGCCTCCCAGAGTGCTGGGATTACAGGTATGAGCCACTGCACCTTACCAGGCTCTCATCATTTTTTTTATTTAGGGCTATGTCACTTTCTTGTGTTTATCCTTTTTTTTTTTTTTTGGCAGGAGTCAGGGGCTTCTCCATTGTTCCTGTAGATAGGTTTAACTGTCCTTTTTTAAAAAAAGAGAAAAAGATGTCGTTTCAGTCTGTCATCCAGGTTGAGGTACAGTGATAATGATCATATACACTGCAGCCTTGATCTGGGCTGAGGCAATCCTCCTGCCTCAGCCTCCCCACTAACTAGAACTACCGGTGTGCGCCACCATGCCCAGCTAATTTTTTTTTTTTTTTTGTAATTTTGTTTTTTTTAAAGATAGGGTCTTGCTATATTGTCCAGCCTGATCTTCAACCCCTGGCCTTAAGCAATCCTCCTGTCTTAGCATCCCAAAGTGCTGGGATTATAGGCAGGAGCTACTGCATCTGGCTCAACTGCCCTTTTAAACTACTTTTTGCATGTCTGCTTTCTTAACTCCTAGCTTTCTATTTCTAAGCTGCTGGCAAAGGAATAATTTAGGTTAGATTGTCCAGAGTGTAAATAAGAGTCTAGATAGTATCTCTGGAGCTCTTACACTTTAGAGTATAGAAAGTAAAGCCCCTGTTTATCCTCAAGTGCCCCTTCCTTTCAAATTCTTACGGAGACATTGAAGAGAAGGCATGGGTGATAGCCAAAGGGTGGGAAAGCTTAGGGTTTTTTTCTCTTTATGTTGCTGGTGGAGGCAGGAAGAAGACAACTGAATGTGCTTCAGAGTGCATTTGGCCAAGAGCACCTAGAGGAGAGGAGCAGAACCATCAGACGGGAACAGTTTGTTAGATGTCATGGTGGGGTGCTGCTGAGAGAGAAGGGGACAGCTAGAGACAGCTCTGCCCTCGTGCAGCTGAGATGTGATGAGAGAGACAAGTCTCAACCACACGGATGAGCTAATGACACCTTGAGATGGCCATTAGCAAGGGAAGTGAATCAATGGTGGGAAGTAGTGAGTAGATGGGAGCAGAATTCAGGAAGGTCTTTGGAAAGCAGTTGAACCTGACATTGAAAGATTAAGAAGGAATTGACCTCGTAACAAGTGTTACAGGCAGAGTGGAGAGTGACTGTGTGTGTGTGTGTGTGTGTGTGAAGGTCCTGAGGCAGGAAAGAGCTTGGTACCTGTAGGTTCCCCTCCCATCCTCACCCCTTTCACACTCCAAAGGCTAGTGTGGCAGCAGGGAAAGTGGCGCAAATTAGGTTAGGAAGGAGAAGGAGAGGCTACATCCTGAAGGGTCTTAGGTCTTGTAAAAGATCCAGATAGGAAGAATGCTTCATTCTGCTGGATTTGACATTTTGTGGGAGGAACCATTTGGTGTATGTAGTACAGATCTTATCCTACAAGCTGATAAGTTTCACTTGTTTAGTTCTGTTCACCAAATGTGACTGTAAAGACATGTCTTGAAAGCACTCAGGATTTTCGTGTTGTCTTACGTGGTGCTTATATCTTTCTTTCTATTGTTTTTCAGGGTATAATCGACTACATTTTCTATTCTAAACCTCAGCTGAACACCTTAGGCATCCTGGGCCCTCTGGACCACCACTGGCTGGTTGAGAATAACATCAGTGGCTGCCCACACCCCCTCATCCCCTCTGACCACTTCTCACTTTTTGCACAACTGGAGCTCTTACTGCCTTTAATGCCCCAAGTCAATGGCATCCACCTTCCTGGCAGGAGGTAGTCAAGCACCTTCGGAGGACAGCCTCGATTCACTTGTAAACTTGTGAAAATCTGAACATAGGGGAGTGAGGTATGGCCACTGAGGATTTTTGTTTGCTTAAGAATGATTTGAATTTTCAATCTGATTATATGATAAGGATATAGTATGAAAGCCAGGTGCTAGCAACAGACAAATTCTGAGCCCAATATGCTTTATACTGCTAGACAGGGATTGGTGTGTTTGCACCTATCTTTAATTTGTTATAAGAAATTTTCCTATTCTATCCAATATAATATTTTCATGCCTTGAAATAGGAAAATGTTTAAAGAGCATATTCTCTTTGCACAGAAATCTGTAGCACTACTTTTTTGAGGCCAGTAGTAACATCCAGAGACCATTCTTCCATACTTTACTCCCTCCTTTTTCAGACTTGTTTGTAAAATACAGAATTTGAATTTAGCCTTTATGATTGTATATGATCCACAGAAAACCTGATTTATGAAATTTTGTACTAAAAAAAAAAATCATTTGGAAATGATTGTATTGTAAACTAAGGCTAAATTTTTTTTAAAACCTGTTTCATGTGTTATAAATGCCAGCTTGTAAAAGAAGCTGCAACAGACTTTCTCTGCTCATGATTTGCACTCTTAGGGTTTTGTGAGCCCTTTTGTACTACTTTATTTTTAAATTGAGAACATGGTTCTTTAAATATAAATCTGCTTAAACCTTAGGATGTTTTCAGACCAGAGGCAACTTATTGATGAATTTTTATGAAAACTATCTACCAGGACAGATAAGCTGAACAGTGATGATCTGTAGGCATTTATGGACTGAATGTAATGGTTGATATATGTACATTCTGATATTTTTAAATCTTTAACTTTTTTAAGTTAAAAAACTACAGCTGCTAAGGTACAGCTTAACTCCTTTTTGAGACACTTCCTGTCCTATCTCCACTGTGCCTGCCTAAATTTGTTCTCACCAAGCACTGCCTGTGCATGCAGAGAAAATCTGTGCATCCTCTTTTATATTTTTAAAATACTGTTTAACATTTGTGAGAATTTTATGAAAATGCTTTTGTATGAGCTGTGGCTTTGTTTTCCATTGTGAAGCATCAAATATCGCAGTTTGGAATGTGTTTATGGGGTGGGTCCCTGGATCTTTGCTCACCAGATCCAAGCACTGCTTCTCGGTGTCACTGCAGCGTACTGCTTGTCACCCAGAATGCTACTATCATGTGAATTCTTTCTGTTGTCCGTGTATTCCTTAGTCTTTTTTTTTTAATCATTCCTTATTTAAGAAGAAGTAATTTTCCATTTATGAAGCAGTATAAATTAGATGCGTTTTCAAAACAGGTCCCTAAGACAATTGTTCAGATCATTTTTAAAATGACTAAGTCATTTTAGTATGTCAACCAAGATAAAAGTTACATCACACCCTCGATTTTGCCCGTAGTGCCATTAGTAGAATAGAAATGAAAACCAGCTTTAACTTTGCAAAGTGAACGTGTACATGGTCTGTTCTCATTTATTCATTCTTCTGTGAAAAGTCAAATGAATTCAGAGGGAGCTTGGTCAAACTGCTTTTGTTTCAGCTGCAGGCAGGGGAGTCAAAGGACACCATGTGAGCATTAGGAAAAAAAATGTTGACTGTTATTAACAATTTTTATACAGAGAGTGAGTCATTTTGGATAATGACTTAAAATTTTATGAAAAATGTTCAGCACTTAAATGTGCTTATTCTGTTTTTAAGAGAAAATAAAATTACATACTGTTTAAATAAATGATTCTTCTCCAAAGGGTTTTGATCTTGAATCTTTGTCTTGGACCTGTTTTTTCCTTTGAGGGTTTTTGTTGTTTTTTTTAAGATTTCATTGTGATGTTTTGGTTTTGTTTTTTGCTTTTTGTTTGAGTTGTGCTGACACCAAACACGTCCAGTTTATAATCAGTACATTGGAAAGCTGGTATTGATGTAGAACCAGTACATAACTTTTTATGGGGTTTTTGTTATCGTTTTTATTTTTTATTTTATTTTATTTTTTTGTAAAGTGTGAATAAAAGGTATGTTTACTCATTTTTCCTAAACACTGTGTTGGTAATATGCATCATGACAATTTCCAGTGAAGGTAAGCTGGAGCTGGTTGGACTAATGAGACTGAGGAAGCAGCCTTTCCTACGATCTGCATTATGTAATCACAGGTCCAGAGAGCTTTATGGAAGGGGGAGGGGAGGAGCACTTACTCATTTTGTATTTGTTAATGGAGGATGTAATCTTTTCGTAGATGCTGGAACTAGAGTGCACTTGTTAGATGCTAAAGGTTTGAGCTTTACACAAAATGTATTCATCTGTATTTGTTATTGTCTATAATATATTTGAATTTGGGGCAGCATATTAAGATATAATGGCCTGTTATGTCTTGAAAATACTTGTTTTGCCTCTTCCAGGCATACTGCATTATGTGGATCAGTTTGAACAGCTTCTCCACCTTAGTTTGGACACTGATTAATTGAACCAAGAGTGTAGATTTACAATTTAACCTTCAAAAGAGGAAGAAATATTTGGGGTCTATAGGGAATAAACAGTCATACCAAAATAGACTATGATGCTTTTGTTAAGCAAGGTTTCATGTTTTAGGTATTTTCTGTCTTAAATAATTTCCAATAATCTATACTTTCTAAAATGCAATAAAAACTAGTATGTTTTCGCAGTGTAGATTTTTTTTCAAAAGTTCTGTAACAAATATATTTAATGTGTTGCCATAATGTAATTTCAGTGTTTTTGCTGGATAAATCCATTTTAGAAACGTTTTACAGAAAGTTTGAGGCACGTTTTCTGTTTTAAAGACCAGGTGTTTGGAGGCACTCAAGTCCTGGTTGCAAATCTCTTGAAGTACAGCTTTACCGTATTAGTGGTGATTATTTATACCTTGAGAATTTAAATATTGTTTGTCAAGTTAATTTATGGCATAATTTAAGCTAAAGTTGTAGAAATGAATTGTCGAGTGCAACTTTAATAGTCCCAAAGATAGGCAAAGAACATCTCCAAAAATGTGTGTGTGTTTTTTTCTTTTGATTTAGTGACAACCAGGAAAACTTGGTGTTATTAGCACTTTCAGACTTAGGGACATTATTAATTTGGATGGAATGCACTTCTAAATGTTTAAAATTTCAAAGCTCTTCTGAGATTCAGGTTCTCAATAACAACATTGAAGTTTTAGAGTTTCACTCTGTACAATTTAAATTTATGGAACTAGTTTCCATAGTAACTTCTAAGGTTTTGGGCTCATATATAAGGACAAAAGTCAACCTAGGCAAAACAATGAACAAATGTTGCAGATAATTCCAAGAACACCTTTAGCAGACATTTCTTCACCATTCATAAACAGTATTTTAAGATGTTCACTTTGCTTTTTTTTTTTTTTTTTTTTTTTGGGTTACATAAATTTTAATAACTGGTATGTTGAAGTAGTGTCTGAAAGTATCTAGTCTTTATTCACAGTACATTATATTGTGTAATGCACTGGACTAACTCTTGTTTACCATTCATGTAACAAAACCCAGCACATTATCTGCACTATAAGCTCAAAGAATGTCACATTTGCCCAGGCAGCTCTTTGATAAGGGTGATGGGAAACTGAATATATATCATATGGACTGCTGGTAACAAGGGCTTTTACTGTTATTTTCAGTGGAACCTTCTTGGTCAAATTGTAACTAGCTAGTATTATATTTATATACAGGGTCTTTTTTCTTTACTGATGTATTTTCCTACTCATAGCCAACCAATAAATTCAATATCTGTTTCAAATATTTTAGAAGTGTAATTTATATAGCTGTAGTACTGAGGTTTGAGGAAAAATAAATGTTAATCAGCAGACCACGTATTTAAAATTCTGAATCATCTGGGACAGGGTTGTAACTCACCCTTCCAAAGGGAAGCGTGCAGGGGAACAGGGCCATGATACGGGGAAATGGTGTAAACAAATGTATTTCTTTATTGGCTGTGTTATTCTGTATAACACTCATATCTTTGCCAAAGTTCAATTTTATATTTAGGCAACTGATGGTCCTTTTGCATTTAGGATTTTCATTGTTGTTACCATATACCTCATAATAATATAAGAAATGGGCTCATGTGTCTTCCGTCTTTTGGAAGGAGGTTGACATATTTTAAATAAATGCTTTTAAATACAGTAGCAAACATTGTGTTGGGGTTATAATAATTCATTAAATGTTTTACTTGTTGCACGTATTTTGTTGCATATGTAAACTTTAAAAACGCTTGACTTCCTGAGTCTTCAGATGTCAGCTTACAATTGAGAAAACAACATGAGTTCCTTTACTTTCAGAAACTAGTTCTACAAGGTAAATTTTTTTGTAGATGCGGGAAAAATCATTTAAAATCTGGACAGTTTAGATTAAATGAATACTTGCTTTGATCTCTGATTTTTAAAGCAGGCATGTTCTACTTAATTCTTAGTACAGTGATGCACGTTAGGGGGATATGTTCTGAGAAATGCATCCTTAGGTGATTTTGCCATTGTTCGAACATCAGAGTGTATTTACACAAACATGGGTGGTGTAGCCTGTTACACATCTAGGCTATGTGGCTTAGCCTGTTGCTTCTAGGCTAGAAACCTGTACAGCATGTTACTGTACTGAATACTGTAGGCAGTTGTAAGACAATGGTAAATATTTGTGCCATTGGAAATGGAAATAAGTAAAAATACAGTATTAAAAAAATGGTATGTCTGAGACTGGGGGCAGTGCCTCGTGCCTGTAATCTCTCATTTTGGGAGACTGAGGTGGGCAGATCACTTGAGGCCAGGAGTTCGTGACCAGACTGGGCAACATGGCAAAATCCTGTCTCTATAAAAAATACAAAAATTAGCTGAGTATGGTGACACACTACCTCCAGCTACTTAAAAGGCTGAGGTGGGAGAACTGCTTGAGCCCAGTAGGTGGAGATATCAGTGAGGAGATTGTGCCACTACATTCCAGCCTTGGTTACGAAGTGAGACTGTCTCAAAAAAAAGAAAAAAAAAGGTGTATCTGAATAGGCAGTTCTGTTATATCTTATGGCGTATTCTCATATATGTGGTCCATCTTTGATTAAAATGTCATTATGCACAGTGTATGATGGTATGTAGTTTTAACTCATAATAAGTTTTGTTCCTTATATAACTGTCAATAAGTATAAAAGAATTAATAGGTTGGGTGCAGTGGCCCATGCCTATAATCCCAGCACTTTGGGAGGCTGAGGTGGGAGGATCACTTGAGCCTAGGGGTTCAAGACCAGCCTGGGCAATATGGCAAAACCTCACCTCTACAAAAAATACAAAAATTAGCCGGGCATGGTGGCACATGCCTATCGTTCCAGCCACTCAGGAGGCTGAGATGGGAGGATCACTTGAGCCTGGGAGGCTAAGGTTGGAGTGAGCTGAGATTGCACCACTGCAGTCCAGCCTAGGTGACAGAGCAAGATCCTGTCTTAAAAAACCCAAAAAGGTTACTGAAGTATGTGCCAATACAGTTAATGTTCTTTAAAGGAGCAAGTACCTAAGGAAACATGAATTGAACTATATTTAGAATAAAGTTTTTAGGTTTTAGATAACATATATACCAAGAGTTCCCTTCTTAGACTGTTATTTGGGTATTCAAATTGATTTTACAATAAGTTTTCACAAGTATTAATTATAATTTTAACATAATGAATGGTTTTATATTAGAAGAAACTTGTAGACGATAGTTTTCTACTAGAGTGTTAGGAGAATTTGAGAAATATTTTTGTAAGTAAATTTCCCTTGAATAATATTTTAAATAGATTGTTACATAAATAAGTCTAACGAACTAGTCTGTAGCTAGGGGTTGGGAGGACTGCTGGATTGCAAAGTAGTTTGAAGACCAGTTTTTACAGTTTCAGCACATATAATTTTTTTTTTTCTTTTTTTTTTTTTTTGAGACGGAGTTTCGCTCTTGTTACCCAGGCTGGAGTGCAATGGCACGATCTCGGCTCACTGCAACCTCCGCCTCCTGGGTTCAGGCAGTTCTCCTGCCTCAGCCTCCTGAGTAGCTGGGATTACAGGCACACGCCACCATGCCCAGCTAATTTTTTTGTATTTTTAGTAGAGATGGGGTTTCACCATGTTGACCAGGATGGTCTCGATCTCTTGACCTCATGATCCACCCGCCTCGGCCTCCCAAAGTGCTGGGATTACAGGCTTGAGCCACCGCGCTCGGCCCACATTTAATGTTTTTAATCAAATAAGGAGATGTCAGTTTTCTGTTTCTTTGAATCACAAACTTTAAATCACTCTACCCAAAAGCTATTAAATGAGTTTGGGCCTGTTAGAAGAAACTTTGCTTGCTCTATCAGTACAACCTGAGGCAGGCTTCAAGAGCTTTAATTGCTGGATACCTTCCAGCTTACCAGCAAAGTGAATCTGAGCTGCTGGGCTTATAGAGCTACCCACTAGTAAGTTGCCTAAGTTTATTTAAAATTGAGAGATTTACAATTGTCGTACTCTGTGCTTAGATTGTAAATAGAGATTTGCAGGCATAATCCTTGACTTCCAGTTGTTCATTGACCATAAATCTAGTGCAGTGGGTGCTGAAGATGTAATAGGTGTGGAGCAAGAAACTTGTCCACTGGAAAGGTTGCTGTAGCAGGGCTGTGCAGGATGCGTGAAAAGGGTAAGACGAATACTTGGTGTCAGACTAGTTAGCTGGCTTCTGGTGTGGTCCAGTTGACAGCTAAGCTGAGGAGGGCTTGCAGAGCAGTAAGCCTAGAAAGGAAAGAGAATTTGGAATGTATAGCAAAGGGAAGTAGTAACCTCAATTTCTGCCTCGTGTGGATGAAAAGACAGATGAGTTTTGTCCAGTCATTGTTTTATGTAAACCCTGACCCGAAATCTGTATCTGCCACCAAGGTCCCCATTTTTTCTTTACCCATCTGACAGAAGTATTTAGTCGAAGAATCTTGTTTGTCAAGCTGGATTTTGCTTCATTCCCCATTATCATTCATTCCGATTTTAGTCTGCAAGAGAAAGCCAGTGTGCCCCTACTAAACGGCTTAGTAATTCCAGAAAATGATGAAAGGTAGCATTTGATGCTATATCAATTCTTTTAGCCTATTTCCCTTTGGCTTTTTGTATTAATAAAATAAATGTAAAAAGACTGCCTCTCTGAAATTGCTGGTAAGACCAAGCATTCAAAGATAGGTAAATAGAGCAACATATTTATCAATGAAGGGAGGGATCCAAGGATTCTCAGCTCTGTGAAGCTCCCCTCATGCAACAACTCTGTTCAGTATGGTGGCTTCTAGCCATGTGTGGCTTTTGAGCAATTGAAATGTGACTGTTTGACTAGTATTGTAAAAATTTATTTTTTGTTAAGCAAACGTTGATTTTCTTTTTTTTTTTTTTTTTGAGACGGAGTTTCGCTCTTGTTACCCAGGCTGGAGTGCAATGGCGCTATCTCGGCTCACCGCAACCTCCACTTCCTGGGTTCAGGCAATTCTCCTGACTCAGCCTCCTGAGTAGCTGGAATTACAGGCACGCACCACCATGCCCAGCTAATTTTTTGTATTTTTAGTAGAGGCGGGGTTTCACCATGTTGACCAGGATGGTCTCGATCTCTTGACCTTGTGATCCACCCGCCTTGGCCTCCCAAAGTGCTGGGATTACAGGCTTGAGCCACCGTGCCCGGCCAAAA